TGACAAAAGGTAGCAGACTTGGGGGTTATTCTGGATCTTTTTTTTCCCCATTAGATATAGTTTTCAGTATTATCCAAAATTAGGAATATTGTATGAATTTAGGCTTAGGGAGTACATCTTTTTCAAGTGTTTAAAATATTTAGAATAATAATTATTTTGAGAAGACTAAACTGAATATGCATAAAGTGTCTTAGAAAAGTGAGTGCTATTACAGCTCCTTTTCAGTGTCATTAGAGTCACTTGCATTCACTGGTTTTCTGAAAGGCAGACAATACTGAGTCGGTGTGAAGGTTGTGGCATGGGGGGCAAGCTTGAGAACTGGGAGTCAAGTACCCTGAGCAGGATGTTTACCCTCTCTCTTCACTTCATCCATTATGGATGGAAGGCTGATGCCTACCCTGATGAGGGGATGTGGACATTTAATGAGCTGAGGTATGTGACCCAGCTCAGGGTGAGTGGTAATAAGTGGAGGCAGCAAGCACAGCATCAGGTTGAAGCCCATCAGTGGATCCTGGCATTAAATAGTTCAGGTGTGGATCTTGACTCGGTACTTGTAGTAGCTCTTTGACCTTGTATAAATTAATTTGATTTCTAAGTTTCAGTTTCTGCATCTATAGCATGAGTTGTGGTGAAGACTGAATGAGAAATATAAACAATATGCTCTGCACAGTGCCCAGCACAAAATAAATGCTCAGTGAATTGCATTTTTATTAGTATGTGTTTGAGACAAGCTGAGAAGCAGGGAAAGGAGACATTTAACACTTTGTGAAGTTGAAGTGTCTACTTCTTAGTTACAAAGCAGCAAAAATGATTAACAAGACTTTTTACTAAAGGATTACAATTATCTCTTCGCATGGAATGCTGTCTGATATCAGCATCAACTATAAATGAGTCTCTCAGATGTTGAAAATGTCAGAAATAGACCTTTCAGAAGAAAAAGACAAATAAATGTAATAACTTTATGAAAGTTTGTTACTTCAACAAAGCTGAGGATTAAATGAGTAAACTATCTTCTCCAGCTCCCTTTCTTTATCTGCAGTTCTGAAAAAAATGAATATAATTCCAGAAGAAAGCTTCCTAAATGGTTTACTATAAAAAGTAGCTTCCTAAATAGGTTACTATAAGTCAAGGACATGTAAAAACAAAGTTTCACAAGAAGTCAGAGGCAGAATATTGACTGTTTTTACCCACAAAGTAGCAAAACACTTCAGTAATGCCTAATATGCTTTCCTGCAATACAGCTTCAGTCCTCTAAGGTGGTGATCAGTTCAGCAGCTAGTATATCCAGATGAGGCTATAGGAGAGGGCATGAACTATGAATCCAGCAGTAAGGGAATTCTGAGGAGTTTCATGATGGAGGGGTCAAGAATCACTGACCGTAATACAAGAAGAGGCAAAAGAAAAGGCCAAGTAGACAAAGAAACATTAAACCTAAGCTACTAGATACAGTTAGGACTACATTAGGGTCTTGCCTGTTTGCATCTCTCCATTCAGGACTGGGAGTCATAGCAAAATTTGAAAATCACATTAATAAGGGGTCATTACATGAACTGTGTGGCTCTTCCAGAAAGTTGCTCCTTGGCCCCCTTTCATTATTCCTGGAGACCTTGGTGTTATTCTTGGCCTCCCCCAAGGGTGGGGTGAATGGTTGTGAGGAAGGCTCTGAGTGAGGTTGAGAATCATCCTGGAGGAGCTGGGTGGGGAGACAGGATGAAATTCCAGACCCTTAGTATTAATAACCTATCTTCTACACCATTAGCAATTTTTTTACTAACATCTACATTTTAGAAAGAATGCTGTGTTTAAACTTTTATTCCATTATAAATTAATTATTCCATTATTACTAGATAAATTATAAAACTACATTCCTACTCAAGTTTTCATTCTGGCACCTAGAGAAAAAGCGGTGGAAAATGTACTTTATTCAGTAGTATAACATAACATCATTTGCCAATGGCCGTACACAGTTATCTAGCAATGTGTAAACAGAAACTATTTTTAATTATATCTTATTTGTAACTTATGTAAGCCAAATTATCTGCTTAATTCTTTCATAAGTAAGATTGCAATGGAAAATTTGGAGTAGAAATTATACCAAGAAATTTATTGCTCTATTTCTTGTACTTTTCCCTTAAGATAGTGTGGCAAAATGGCTAAGAATACAGATTTTAATATAAGACTGAATTGGATTGAGCCCCAGCTCTGCTACTTTTTAGCTGTCTGTCCTCAGTCAACTTATTTAACTTCGTCTACCTTCAGTTTTTCAGTTTGTAAAAGAAGGATAATTACTACAACTAGAGTTGTAAAGATAAATTTGATGCTGTACACAGTGTTTATAGCAGTTTCAGTTAATAAACACTCATAACACGGTAGTTATTATTATTCTGTAGTTCACATTGGCCATCATGAAATATCTATGTATCTAAGTGGTAGAATTCTGGGCCATGTAATTTAGACATATAAAAGGTCTTTTCTCAGTTATTTCCTTCTATAAATAAAAGAACCAGAGTCTTGGACCAAGAAGCTCAAATACCATTCAACATTACTTGTATTGTCTGCTGGAGATAAAGCCAGGATCCTAGCAGTGTGTTTGTTTGTCTTAACTTAAACCTTTTTAACTCATCTGTAATGGCCAAATAGGAGAAGATTAGGTTATTTTTAAATGAGCAGGTAAATATACGTAGAATCAGGTTCAGAGTAGCTTTGGATAGGGTCTTAGAGGAGCTGCACATCTTGTATGTATAAATGTAATATTCAAGGGGTCAGTTAACTTCTTTTGTTTTAGGGCATGGTTCCTGGAGATGAAGGGGATGAGAATTCTTAGGAAGAGGATCCCTTGAAAAGCAGGGCTGGGATAAATGAGATGAAGTGTTTTTCTAAGGTATTGACAAACACATTGCTCCTTAGTTTACTTAGTACACGTCACTGACATGTGGAAGGTTTGTACATTTAAGTAGGTGGAACAATGTTCAAGAAGGCAAATGAAGTTTGTAATAGATTGCCCAAATTCCTGATGTCATAAGAACCCAGATACTCTGTAAAATTCCACCAGAATTATTTATTCTGTAAGGTTATATGGCATGATCTGTGTCTAAAATTATGAGAATATTTCTTTGTCTTAAGGAATCCTTCTTAGATGAGCAATAACACCCTCTAGAATACAATTATGGAAAGATGACTTCAGTGACTTGGCAACACCTCAAAAGAATAATACAGTGCAATTTGGGAATAATGTGATTATTATTTTTCCTTAAAAAAGAAAAAGCTTGTCTCACAATAGAATAGTTTCTCTTGTCTCCTTATCCACTCCCCAGTAAATAAATTAGAACTCTATTTCAGATTAAAAGAGGTTAAACAGAAGGAAGAAAAGATAAGAAATGACTAAAAGTGGGTGGGTCTGCTAAAGTGAAATGTGACTGAGAAGAGGAGAATTATCAAAAGGAAAGACACTATTGGAATAATTCCAAATTGTAGATTTTTAAATTCAAACCTTTTAGAGTCCATAATTTTTGAGGCTGCTTTCAAGAGACTAAACCAAGAAGGGATGAACTTATTTTGTGAAGTAATACAGTTGTTTCTCTAGACTTCCCATAAGTCTGGTATGGTGTTCTGATTAAATTTAAACTATTTAAATTTTAATCATGAGACCCACACACATTTAATCATAATTTATATGCTTCTAATACTGGCGTTCCCTAATATGCATGAGGTACCTTGAAGCACCACAGTACACTCACGAGGTTGCCTCAAAATACCTTAGATTTTCAAGGGAAACACAGTAGTATTCAGCACCTGTCAGGTACCCATGTACTACTAGCTGGAGGTAGTTCACAGTTTTAAGATTACATTTGGATCTGTTCCTTTAAATGACAGCATATCTTTGCAAAGCTCAGTAGCATAAAAACCAGTGTGGAATAGAAAACGAAGGGGGGTGGTATCCAATCTGTTTCCAAAGGCTTGGGAAGTTCCATTAGTAGGTTATGTACTAAGAATGACACAGATACACACATATAACGTATTTTGTTATTCTTGTGTATTATTTTTTTAACTGACCACTATGTTTTTAGGACATAAAGAGTTAAGATATTTGGACCTAACTACTAATAAACAGAACTGTTATATATATATATATATGTGTGTGTGTGTGTGTGTGTGTGTGTGTGTGTGTGTGTGTGTGTGTATGTGTATAATTATTTTTTCTTTTCCTAAGGGCACCAGGGAAAAAATTACTGAGACACTGTGGTAACAAGATCTGGGGTAGTTTGGAAGCTTCTGTCCTAACATTTGCATGAATGTATTAATAGGTGTCAATGTCACAAATAATTGATGCTCTATGCAGTTGATTTTCTACATTTAGTATATAGCTAATGCTGGGAAAGAGATGGTTCTAGGAGTTTGTACTTAAATACATGCTTCAGAGCTGAAGCCAACCCTTAGGAAGAAATTCGAATATCCACTGATTTAAAAATATATATAATAGATATATCTAAGTATAGATATATCTAAATATAGATAAACTTCAGAGAGAAGTGAGGTACAGAATATTGAAAGCTGGCCTTTTCCCCCCTAATTTCTGTGTAGATTCTATCTATTATACTGTGAGGATTATTCAGGCCAAATATACTTTGTTTATCAATCCTTTATGTTTTTATCTACCAACCCTGTAGAACTAGTTTATTTAAATAATGCAAAGTTATATGTATTTTCCATTTAAAGTTAAGTTGCATAAAATGTAAGCTCTTCTATCACTTTTCTGCTCATAAATCATACAGTGCTTTGTAGCACATCAGAGTCAGCTATTGGTATTGTCAGATATTTTAGCCTTATGTTTTATTGATCAGGATTTATAGACTGCATTGCTCCATAACTTTTCTTTCATGGCTTATCCTGACTCTGATCATGCTCCCTTAGGTAATTCCTTGGTACAAGAACAGCTGCCCATTCAAACTTACACTTTAACCCAGAGAGACATAACTACTAAGAGGCTACTGCTACGTTACCATGCTTGTTGATCTGATGTAGACATTGTTTTTCAGATGGCAATTTCCGTCATTTGGCACCACTATGCCTGCCAATTTGCTATCAAGAGCAAGATGCGATGTCTGATCTGTCATCACCAGCAGCAATCTTTTAGCTTCTTTTCGCCATCCAATATGACTCTTAAAATAAATATGTAATTAGACTTTGTATAATAACATTCATCTGGACTGTGGTCTTTATCTCAAGTAAATGTTAAGTTCAAGTTAACGAACATTAATTCAGTCTAGAATGATGTGCATAAACAGAATGCTCTTTCACAAGCAGCATTAACTTTTATTTGTATATCCTCTATTTTACCATATATAGTTTACCACACCAGCTCCTGGCTACAGATTTCTAGTGTCCCTTGAGGAAGAATAAGCCTGAGTTATGAAGTGCAGAGCACCCAGTGTGATGTGACTCAGACAGCAGGCTATGTTTGGTTCTTTCTTGGAAAGTGGGAGTGAAAAGAGCAGCCCTTTTGGGAAGAATATTTCAAGTACACAACTTATTATTTTCCTTTTATCTTTTCTTATTTATAACCCTCTCCCAATTTAGCCCCTCTGTCCTGAACACATACCAAAATGAATAACATTGTGACATATAAGAGATAGGAGAAGTATGTATTCTTCTATGCTCTGTTTTCACCCCATAAATCAGTGTGAAAATAAAAATCCTAAATTCTTGGAGAACTTTGCATCTGAGCAAACACTTAAGAATGTGAAACTTCCTACCTCACAGACAGCTGCCTGAAGCATGGCATCAAAACCTCCTTCAGGTGTATCTATGTTGCCAGAGATCTTCTGTCTATGAACTGCTTTTTCAAACTCAGTGATGTTCTCCGTCAAAGATAGCACATGGATGTATCCATGGGGAGGCATGCAGTCTAAATTATAGTCACTATATGGGAACAGAAGAAATGCAAATTCTATTTTGCTATGCTTCCTTCAAAGATCCAAAATACTTCTTATCGTAAAATTGTGTGTTTGGTGTGAGATGGGAATATATTTATTTTTGCCAAAGTAATTTTATTAGAGAAAATATGTGTTTTATAAAATCAGAGAAAATTCCAGTATCAGAGAATATTTCTTTTTAAATAGGGAATAAAATATAATAGTATGGTATTCAAAAAATAAAGATTAAACATGTTTCTTTAATATAGGACACCTGAGGGATTTTACTATGCTAATATTCAGTTAATTTTTAAGAGGAAGTAGGAATTTACAGTGATTTCTTTTCACATTTGACCATGAAATGTTTTTAGGAATTTAGTTAAAATATTGTACTACTGGTAGATATTTTAGAATATTATGCTTATTTTTTAAGTGATGCTTGGTGTGGAACTGTTGATGAACAATGAAAAATTTTTTAAGATATCAAAAATTTTTTGAGAATTCCATGATGTCCCAAAAAGTGAGACTCATTCCTCAGGTGCATGCAAATCCAGGGAGAAGGTACATGAAGCTCCCAGAAGAGGTGTATCAGTCCTGTTCTATAACAGATAGCAGAGTTGTTTTGGTAAATTAGAGTGTGTACTGTAAAGTGATCTAGGCAATTATGGAAGTAGAAAAGATGATGTTACAATGAAATGTTTTATTAAGGAAGGATTGAACATTTTTTTTGACAAGTCAACAGGCCAATTAGAATACTGTGTGAGAAACTTATATTTTTTAAATCTAGTTCTTGTTCCATAGTGGGGCATGTGCTATTTATAATCAGACTTTCAAAATGATAAGAAAAAGGCTCTTTCTAGCAAGTAAATGCTCATCTTTTGACCTACCCTTCACATGCTAACTTTTGAAGCAATATAATTATAAACATAGTCATAATACAGTAACGGAAAAATAGGACACAGTACTGACAACATAAATACTTTAAATTTGACAAACCTTAATTCTACAAAATTAGAGCAATCAAAAAGGAGAAATACAGAATTTTTTAAGATGTTTTTATGTACATGGTTAACTTGATTTTTGGAGGTTTGTCCAAAATTATTAATACTATGTTTTTTTGTGATTAAAACCTAGGTGAATGACATTTGAAGCAATATAAAAAGTCCAAGCTACAGATAATAACAGAAGTTTTCATATAGGAGCATACCTCCTCTGCAAATATTTTCATTTCTCATTTAATAAAAATATAAAATTTATCAAGTTCTTTAAAAACAAAGGGAAATTTCATAAGAAAAAATTTCATTTAGCATTATGAAATCCCCATCAAACACATCAAAACAGATACCTGCATTGATTATGAATCCTTTCTGGGTGGATGCTAATGTATGGTGACACTGTTTTATCAACGTATGAGCCAAACCCAAGGCGGAAGTCATGGGAGAACAATGCCATTTTTCTAGATAAATCATTTCCAATGGAATTTAATTTTTCAATATTATTATGCATTGATGCAGAGACATCAACCAGATAATAAAGATCCACAGGATATTTCTTCAGAGGATGAATTTTCAGCATAAAATTAGCTTCAGCTCCTAGTTAAAAGAAAAACATCATGTATATTCATTTTAAACTGCTCAGGATAAGCTGTCAATACATCAGACATAGAAGATATATCTTCTATATATCTTAGATATAAAACAATTTTCATAAATTTGTATACCATGAATGAATTTAGGAATATTCTAAAATGAATTAAGACAATTTGAAAGCCATATCAATTTATTAGTCTCCAACTTCTACAATGTATTTATCACAATTCTATAGGGCAGCTAGAGTAATAACAAATGGATCAGCTCAATACAAATGTAATGGGAAATTTATCTGCTACAATATGAACCTGTTGCTTTCCTTAGTATCTAGAAAAGCACAGCACAATACAGCAAGCGGAGATCTATCTCAAAAAGAGTAGGTAGCTGTTGTGTTTTAAAGTGACTTTATGGTTTGAAAAAAACCAGAAAGGCATCTTAAGGAAAAGATTATCTCGTACTGGATGCAGGTGTAAATTCCTCCTTTTGGGTTAAGGCATATTTACATATGAGATATGAAAACTACAGTACCGAGTACTATGTTAAGCTATCCAAAATGATCAGTATACCTCATCATGCATTAGTTGATAAGATTCTTCGCAACAGTTTTGCATGGGAAAGAATGAGACAGTGGTCTAAAGAATGGTGCCCCAGTAGTGCCACAATGGGGACCTGGGCAGTGGAGGGGACAGCATTTGTCCAGTGCACACTGGGCACTTAAATGTATGTGGAAGAGGGATCACAAAGGCAAAGGAACCACACGGAGAAGTGTGGGAGCTTCCCAAGAACAACTATCTGCAATACAGTTTTATCTGGTTCTCTGTCCATTATCGTTTGATACAAGGACCTGTATTTTCTGATACAAGGTAACAGTACCCTACAGAGTTGGTAGCTCTATATTTAATTTTTTAAAGCTATGGTGAAAAGTCATCAATTTAAATACAGGCAATTTGTGAATTTTACTTTTTTAAACAATAAAGCAAATGCTTTGTTAAGTCATTATTTCTCAGCAGAGAATATTTGGAGTGGAAAAATAATTTTTAATAAGCACCAATTTGTTGTATATATAATTGGTAGCCTTATCTATTTATTAAAGGACTCATCTAGTTTATCAAATCATATTGTATGCCTTAATGTGCTTGAAGTAGCAGTATTTCCTTTAAAATTTTTACAGATCAGATGTTTTTCAGCCAGATTTTAAAATGTATTCAAAATAGGAAGGTTTTTCTGGTATGTAACAATAATTATGGAAAAAAGAGACTATTTACTCATTCCTACTTTGCTCTTATGTGTAGGAAACCCCCTTACTGTAACACTAATTGTTCAACTCAAGAGTTTGGGAGAAGCTGGGTGTGGGTAGGCCAGCCCAGCCCACTGTCTCGCTCCTTCCTTTAGGGGCTGGGCTGCCTCCAGGAAGCACATATTCAGGTCTGCTTCCTGCGTGTCTGGTGGAAAGGCCTATCTGTATGGAAGTGTCCTGCAATTTGGGTGGAGAAGTTCAATTTGGGAGAATGTTAGAATCTGGTAGACAAGGCCAGATGGAAAAAAAAATGGAAATGGAGCATAACAGGAGTGTGGTGCATGTGGAAGAGCTTGAACTTTATAGAGTGTGGGTCATCTTCTTTATAATTTTTTACAAATTGTATAATTGTTTTTAAACTGTTGACTCAGGCATATGGCAAAATGAGAAGCTGGTATTTTCGACTTGGTGTATCATTGCAGTTTTTATGGTAGCTCTGTCTAGATGTGAATGGCTGTTTTCAATAGAGTTATTGCAAAATTATTGATATATTCAGCATATTGTGCAGATTGTAGTAATGTTGGGTGTATCTCAGGGAACAGAATGCAGGTTGTATCAGGAAACAGTTAAGAGTCTGTGTGTGTGTATCATCAGCAAAGCACAATCCTTCGAGGCTAAAATATTCAGGGAGCTCCAACCAAATGCTAGCCACACAGAGGTCCTCAGCACACACCAGCTGCTTTTAGCCTAGCAAGCAAATCCTGTTCTCACTGCCCCAGCAAAGTAGAGGGCTGTACAGAGGCCTTGCCCAATGGTCAGGGTTGGAGTGTGTAGGTTGCTGTAGTTTGATTTTGGGTTACACAGATGCTGTCCTTGGCACATGTACCTGGGTCACTTGGAGACCTAAGCATGGGCTGAAACCTCAGTAAGACAAGTTTCAATAAAGGGGAAAATAGACTCTTCACATACACAGATCATTTAGACATCATTTAAGTCATAATCGCTACTTTTAAACTTTAGGGCACTTGAGGTTCCTGTAAGGTTTTAGCATTAGGTATGTAGTTCAAGGTAGGCAGCTCTAAATAGGCTGTCCCCAAACCACACTCTGCTTATCAAGGAGGAAACTGAACAGGCCAACCTTGGCTTACCATGCTTGCCCATGAGCTTGAGCTACCTCCAAAATGTTTCAAGTTGGCCTTGGACTGGCTAATTTCATATGAAGGAGAAACCTTCTCTTAGAGGGGGTAGAAATACCTTTGCAAGGGAACATGGATACTGTGTCTCCAGATAAAATCCCTACTTGGTTCATACTGGGGTGCCACCAGCACAGGGCTCAAAGGGCGGATGACATTAAAGAGGTTTTGAATATATTGGAGAAAGAAACACATCAAGAAATAAGACTTAATGTCTGTGGCCCCCACTGTTGTGAGGTTATCAATGCAGGCAGCAATGTTGTAAATGCTCCACTGAGAGAGGAGCTATGCAAGGTGCTTTCTTTTACTGGCTAAGAGCTACTAAGATAATCCACATTATCTTACATATCATATATGTTATATATACATTATGTATGGTATTTATATATGTGTTTATATGATTATATAAATATGCTAGTAATTGTTACTATGATCACTATTACTAGATTCTAAAGCAATATTAGGGTAAGAATTCTTTATTAATCTCTGAAGGCTCTGTGTTTGGACCATGCATAGTCATTTACAAATGTTCTTTAAACTATATTCAAAACACATTTGATAGAGCATTTCAAAAAGCCCACATGTTTACCACAGGAAGAAGCTAAGATATGTGATTCTTTCTGGTAAAGTAGGGAGAGCTTAAATAGTTTCTTTAAGAAGAAAAGAGTATCATCTAGCCACAAAATGTTTATACCACTACTTATAATCTTCAGGAAAACTTTATCCTCATACTTTCTGAGATTCTAAAGGCTCGGATCCTTATTCCTTCAATTAGCTTCAAAGGGAAGCAGTGAGTCTGTGACACAGAATAAGAAAAAGGACTTGGAGGAAAGTTGAGACCTACTTAGAGCTATTGCCAGTATTGGTTTTAATAGACCAAAGAATTCAAAATTGTTAGAGTGAGTTTCAAATCAGTCAAATAATGGTGTGAGCATCTCTGAAGAACTGGCTGCAATGAACATGACTAGACATTAAGAAAAGGTAACTATAAATGTTTTGCTTAAGATGAAATGGAAAAACCCTATGAATGTGCAAAACTGGAGCAGAAAGAAAGAACAGCCAATTTCTATTCATTATAGTTGGGCAGGGGAAAGAGAAGGCCCACAAATGAGACTAGTTTGAAACAACCAGGCACAACAGACTCCAGAATTTTTCCGAATTTCTGTGGGGATTAAACAGGGATATGTAATAGGGGAACAGGGGAAAAGGATGCATGATTTCTATTTTTATGTTTTTAAAACCTTTTTTCTGAGTTTAGAAAACTACCTGAAAATCTTACATTTTTCAATTAAGCTACATTGAATTAAAGGAATTATTTTTACAGTATAAATACAAATCAAGTTTGAAAAATTTTACTGAATCAGTGAGGTATACATTATTTAATCCTTATCATATACATTTGTATCACTTCTGAAGCAGAATTAGAGAATTCTCTTCTCTCTCCTAAAGATTTCATTTCATTGTTCTTAGGGAACATCAACTAGGATCAGTAGCCTATTGTTACTATTATTTTTCTATAAGATTGATATGCAAAAACAAGAAAAAAGGTATCATTTAAGAAGTGGTAAGTAGAAGAAAATTTACTTTTAAATTCATTTTAAATATTCAATTATTTATTATGTATATTTTTATACTATCCTCTAACATTCATTATGATAATCATACAAAAAAATTCAAATATTCTTAACAGATACTACATTGAATAACACAAAATTTTATCAGATAAGAATAAAATAATTATAAATGATTCAAATAAATCTAAACCAATATTGGGGATAAATGCATTTTATACTTACATATGCATTATATCAAGCTATTATATGTGTCATTCTGGACAGGACTTTTATATCATTAGGAGTGATGTTTCTGTATATCTGAAGTTGGTAAAATGTACCTTTATATATTATGCCTCACAGCTGGCATGTCTTCGGTGTTACAATGGATTTTTTAGATGAACTTATCATATCTAATGTAATAATTCTTGGCTATATATGGGATTACAAAATATAGTCTGTCATAACTATGTTGGAAAGATGACTTACACAAATTAGACAATTGTACTAATTTGCATTCAGAAATTCAAATGATAGCAGGAATAAAATCAAGCCCTGTAATTACTGACTTGGACATTAAGCATTTGTCTTTCCATGCTCTTACTCCCCATGATCATCCATACTGCCTTCACTTACCATTTCATATTGACATCTCCCACATCTCTTTAACCAACATGTATCTCTCATCTGAACTTCAGCATCAGGTAGATATGATGCCATATTTGAACTCAGTACCTCAATCCAAGAGGTCACATTTGAACTTGGTTTCACCTCTTCCACAGAGGGCATCCATCCCCACCTCACCTAGTTGCTTGAGCCAGAGCCCAGGTGTACCCCTGATCATCAGTCACCAACCCTTGGGGATGCTGCCTCCCCATTATCTCTCAAGGCTGTTCATTTTTGTCCTGCCTCATTATCATTACTATCATTGCTTACCTACAGCACTGAAACAATTTCCCAACTTTTAAACTTTTAATTTACAGTCTCAGGATTCAACCACTAGTACATCTACAAAAGGGAACAAGCTAAATTCATTTAAGAATATAAATTTAAATGAAACATACCAGTAGAAAAAACATGCACTTTGTAAAATTGCACATCTTCAAGTATTTAAAAAAGTAAGATATTTTTAAAGGATATAGTCATATTTGTTAGAGGCAAATAATATATGATAGGTTTCACATGTAAGCTGCTAAACATTAACATTCAACTAGAAAAACAGACAAGGTTTTATGGAGAGGTAAGTCACACACAAAAACTGAGAGAGAAAGATGGTTAATAAGCTTTGGAAGAATGTTGAAGCTTTCTAGTACTAGAAAAAGGCAAAAGAAAAGAACTGATGGACTGGTTACATTTACAAACATGATATTCAAAAGAATGAGAATAAGCAAGGTTGACTTATGAAAGCCTTCATTGGATATTCATTTTTCTTGTGAATAATCTGGAAATATAAATTAAAAACCAAAATATATTTACATACATTTGACCTAGTATATCATTTCTAGAAATGTATCCTAAATAAATATGCTGTTACATACAAATATGTATACATGATGAGTATCATTGAATATTTTTAAAAACACTGCACTCAGATTTGATTGAGATAGTCTTACATTTATTAATTCACTTGGATTTTGTTACATTTATAGAGTATATTAATAGAATCTGTCATTATTATAATACTGTCTTCCTATTCAGGAACATAAAATTCTTCTGCATTTATTTGTGTCTTCTTTTACATAGCACAATGGATCCTACACATTTTTTTCAAAAAGCTTATACCTAGACCAGTTACAGTTTAGTTTGCTGCCAAGAATTAATCCTTTTTCATTGTATTTAATGTTATATAGGCAATCATTGATTTTTGGAGATTTTACAAAAAACAGCCTGCCAAGTAATTTTTTAATTTTTAATTTTAATAGTTTGAGTTGATTTGCTTAGATTTTCCAATTAGACATATAATGATAATTTTGCTATAATTTTTCACAGTGTTTATAACTTGTAATTGGTTTCCTTGTCTAATTGCTTTTATAAAAAACTTTCAGAAGGATTCTAATATATATTAAGGAAGTATTCTTCAATTTTGGTTTTGGTAGGAATGGACACTAAATTTTATTGTATGGTTTTTCAGCATCTGTTGAGATAACTGTATTTTTTTTTCCCTTTGGCAAACTGGGATGATAGAAATACATTAATTTTAAAATAATCAACTACCCTTGGTTTTATAGGTTAAATCTACTTGTATGGTGGTATTATTTTTAGTATCATATGCAGTTTAATTTGCTTTCCTAAAATGTTATTAAGGATTTGATACTGGGATTATGCTAACCTTATAAAAATTGGGTAGCTTCTAGGCTTTCTCTAATACTATGAAGAATTTATGTAGCATAGGGATAACATATTCCTTGAATGTTTGGGTTAACATGCAATCATTTCTTGCCATGACAACATTTAGGCCTACTGTCTTTAGGTGGTGTTTCTTCTTTCATTTTCCTTACTTCTTTTATCTTTATTAGGTTTCTTAGGGTTTTCCCTCTTCTTGAGTCAATCTTAGTCCTATATATTTTCCTATAAAATTATCTGTATTAAGATTTATACATTTTACCATAATTTTTTGTGTTTAATATATTCTTAAAGTCTTTTTTTAAAATATTGGCTATAGTCCATATAATTAGATTATTTGTTTTTGTCCTCTTTTTCAAATTAGCTTTGCCAACAATTTATGTCTATTTTATTGGGCTTAATTTAGATATAAATTGTTGGCAAAGCTAAAAAATGATAAATTCATTTTACTTTTTTATTTCTCTTTCACATTTCATTATTTTTTTTTTCCCTTAACTTATGAATTTCTTCCTCTTATTTTCCTTATGGCTATTTTGTTTTTGTTTTTCTATATCTTTATTTGTATGTCTAGTTCATTTTTCTTCATTCTTCTTTAATAATAAAAGCATTTAAAGTTTTGAATTTTCTTGAGAGCAACTTTGGGCATATCCCATATATTTCGATGTGTGTGTTGTTATTAAATAGTCTATGACTAGGGCGTTGATTAGAATTTATTTAGGAGAAGCTTTTGTTAGTTTCTCTGTTTTTGTCTCTTGTATTGATTTCAAATTTTACTGCACAATGCCCACAGATGTTGGCTATAAAAAGTTTCAATTTTTGGAAAATTCAGTTTTCTTGTCTAAACTATGATTAATATCTAAAAATATTCCACGCCCTTTAAAAATATTTTATGTATCAAGTGTTATGGACTGAATTGTGTCCTCTCTACCCCAAATTTATATCATGAAGCCCTAATCTATAAGGTGATGGTGTTTGGGGATGGGGCCTTTAGGAGGTAATTAGGTTTCAGTGAGGTCATGAGGGTAGGTCCCTCCTGGTGGGATTATAAGAGAAGATACCAGAGAACTCTCTTCTCTCTTTCTCTCTCTCCCTGTCTCTATACCCCAGCTTCCCCTCTCTCTGTCACTTTCTCTTTCTCTCTAGGAACTGAATTGACCAGCACCTTAATTTCAAACTTCCTAATCTCCAGAACTCTGAGAACATAAATTTCTGTTGTTTAAGCCACCTAGTGTGTGAGATTTAGTTGTGGCAGCAATAGAAGGTGGCAAACACCATAATGTTACCAACTTAATCATTTTTCATTTTTGAGTATCCTTTTCTAACTGTTGCTCATATATGTCCATCCGGGGCTGTATAATTCTTTTATATGGTAAAGAGCCCAGTTTTAATTGGAAACTGGGAATGCGTGCAGGGCCAAAAAAAGAGAAATGGACTTTGTTTTCTGGTAATCCAAAAGGAGTCTGGAAGAAATAGCTTTGGAATAGGGAGGCCATGTGTCAACAGTGGTTATTTAAAACTTTAGTGACAGGACAAAACCACCCAGAATGAAATAATGAAGGCTTGAAGACAACTGAATATGGCTTAAAACTGAATGCCTCTAATTGAGTGATGCATATTTGTGCACCTGAACTTGCCATATGTCATTTGTATACTGGGGTTCTCTAGCACTGTAGGAAAATGAATAATCTCCAGTGTCTATTACATGTACCAAACTGTGGAATACAGAGTGATGGAAGGGCAAGTACAAAAAAAGCCTAGAAGTGAAATTGTGTCTTAGTGAATTAGTGTTAGGGACCACCACAAAGCAGTTTAAGTTAATTATGATAATTATGAATTGTAGTTTGTGTTAAAAAGTTTACAAAGACTCTAGGCCTTAGCTTAATTCACATCTCTTACTAATTAATCAGCTAATGAATTTGAACAAATACTTATGGAGTGCCTACTATATGCGGCACTCTGCTAGACTTTGGAGGTATAGTGCACTAAAAAATGTTCTCTTTCTTCCAGAGCTGGCAGAGGAATAGGAACACAATTACACTACAGTGTAACCAAGTCTAGAAACATGTAATTATAGTATAGAGTGCTCAGGTTTTCAGAGACTGTCCAAGGCGACACAGCTAACTAGCCATAGGCGCAAAAAGAGAGTAGAATTTTTGATTCCTTGTTTCTGAGCCCACTGTTATTTCTACTATGCAATACTGCCTGACACAAGATATTAAATATGAGCAAATAAAACTATATGAAATTCCAAGGTAAGAATCATCATAGATTTATTTGAAAATCACCAAACCTGGGCGCAGCTGGATCAGCACTTCTCCTGGTGTCACTTGGGTATTAATTTCATTTTCACTTGATATTACATGCACAGATGGGCATTCTATAGAATCAACTGAGCAGCCTTTGCTTATTAAATTGGAAACAGTGTCACAACGTTCATTCTTTGATCCACCTGAAATGAAATCCTGTTTAAAAGAAGGAAAATCACTGACATTTTTAGTGCATATCATTTCAATTACAACCAAAGAAAACCACATAACAAATATTGCAAAGAAGCCATCTTCCAATATTGCACAAATTATGCAACTATTCAAAATAGCTGCATGTTTCCAATAAAAGTACTAGCAAATTTGTTTTGAGTAAAGCTTTAATTTATAAATATTATTTAAAAAGAAAATAAATATTTAAGAGATTTCAACCAATACTTTAAATATTGTTAACCAATCACTATAAAATTATACCAACTTAATTCTTTATAAATATTTTACTTTAGAAAGATAGCTCCAAAAGAAAATTTAGCCAGCATAGACCATCCAGTGGTTCCACACATGTAAGCCTCAGTTCTCAAAGAACCCAACTGGTATGTTTATTATATATTACTATGTTTGGAATATCAGACCAAATCCTCAGAAGTCACATGCCTAATTAGGTACTGACAATTCATAAAAGAATGAACTGGAAATCCCCATTTGTTAGACTGTAAAATAGACTATAAAATCTCCTTATTATTTATACACACAAGAACTTGTAAATCATTCAGTAAACCAAGGAAGGTGCTTATATGAGGCTGAGAGATACAAGATTGCAGATTAGATTCTCCTGATTTTGCAACTGAACCTAGAACTTTCCTTACCATTCAGCATTGTTTAGTTGATGGTTTTCCAAAAGCCATGCAATATACTTGAATTCATAGAGCAAGCTTAAATTTTAATTTATCTTAACTGAGAAAAAAATTGATAATTATTTTTCATGTAACCATTAAGGTTTTTTCCTAAGAATAGGAACTGTACTAAAAAGTATAGAAATGTTTTATTATATGTAATGTTGGACTGAATTATTTGTAAGATCAGCTTACACATTAGCTGGATATTTGCTCAGTGATCTTTCTGGAAGTGACTATTTTAATCTGGCTTTCAGTCATTCCTCCTGTAGTTCAGCTGATTCAGAGAATTGGGTTTCCAATCAATCGTTCAATCAAAGAATGTTGATTGAATGCTTACTCAGGGACAGTATTGTTAGGTGCCAAGGATTAAGAATGGAGCAAGACAGAGTACCTCATATTAAAGAGTGAACAGACCATTGGTGAATTGAGCCAGAAGCAAGCAAATGTAATTATCCTGGGCATTAAATTTAGGGGAAACATGGAATGTCACAGGATTATGGGAAAAAGAGATCATCAAGTTTAATATTAGTTGAACATGAGATAACTAATAATGAACAGGGACATCTATGGCATTGATAGTTAGATGGGATGGTGTTAGGCAGTATAAAAACATATAAGAATTTTAGTTTAATTTATCTTTCAGTTTAGAACAAGGATTAGAAAACTAGGAACAGTGGGACAAATACAACCCATGGCCTGTTTTTATATTGCTTAGGTGCTAAAAAAATGCTTTTTTTACACTTTTTTAAATTCTGGAAAACAATAAAAAAATGTGCAACAGAGGTAGTATGTGGCCCACAAAACTTAAAATTTTACTATGTGGCCCATTACAGTACTGATTTGAATTAGAGTGTGGAGCATGCTTGCAATATAAATACAATTAAAACACAAAAGAGAGTATGTTCTTTTCAGTCAAGATTTCCAGGTGTCATTTCAGTCAAGATTTGGCAAATGACTTCATGGGAACAGAAGAATTAAATTTGCTTTGCTGTTGACCACACACCTAGATTTTAGCCTGAAGTTTAAAATGTTCAAAGACTTAATTTCTTGTATCCAAATTTATCTTATCTGTTGATAAAACTTAGAGGTACTAAATGTGAGATTTAGTAAACAATCTTGAGTTCCTTGGAGAAAGATGGCATATCATACTATTACATGTGTCACTTTCCTTCAGAAAGCCTCAGGTTAAATGGGCTTGTCTAAACCCACCTGTCCTAGAGCCTGGAGATTATTGAGGGGACAGAAGGTTTGGTACATCTATGCTTGCTCAGGCCTCATCTGATAGGCCACAGACCAAGGATCACATGTGTTTGTAGATGTGAAAACCCTAAGACTTCAAGTCAGGAAAGGAAATAAAGTACAAATAATTCTTCCTTTTCTTTCTAGCCAGGGATTTTGTTATTTGTGTACATAGAATGGAAAAGAAGGGAGTGTGTTCAATTTGCTGCAACTATATATCAAACTATGCCATTTGGCCTTTAAGTGTCAAATCGTTTTTGCTGAAATAGGCAAAATAGTCTCAATTATTTTTCAGTGTATGAATCAGCATGGGTGTTTTTACTCCACTGTAAAAACTAAGTTAGTAAAACACTGCCACTTTGACAATTAGGTTTGCAGAGGGAAGAAAAGACCATGGCATCAAAATAAAGAATGGAATGCTGCCCCTACCCACTGTGGCCTACTTTCCACTTTGTATGAAAGAAAAGAATTTGAAACCACACCCTTTTAATTTTTGGTGTTTTCTATCATTTTAATTTCTTCTAATTCTTGTGGTCTGTTTTTTTCTAAATGAAATACACAGACTTTTAAAATCATACTCTGTCTGCATCTAATACCTGTTTGAAAATGAAAATACCCAGGTTGAAGTTACCCTGGTTGGCTTTTCATCTGTTGTTACTTTCATCCCTTTAATATAATAATCTGGGGATATAAATAAGGAAAGTTTTTCCTCCTCCTCATGTCTGAGTCTTTCTGACTTCCAAACATGGAAATCTGCACAGAAATGAAAGAATTTATCATTTTTCTCTTGACAGTGAATGCCCTTCATATAGTATTTTGGTAAAGTTATTGTCCAAGGCTGCCTTCCAAACTTCCAGCAATGTAATCACAATCTGTATCTGACATATAAGGCAGGAGAGGGAGGGAATTCTTCAAAACTTGTCAAGTCTTTTATATGTGATAAAAAGGAACACAAGGCATTAAACTAGGTAATATTGATAAGGTCCTTTCTATCCTAATTGCTTCCCAATTACTTTTACGTAGCATGGAGAAAAAGCAAAAGCAAAATATATAGAATGGCAGATTAACATGTCACATGAGAACATGGGCCAATTGAGTGTACCCGAACTTCTCTAATGATCTTTAACTTCTGACCAGCTTTGAAAATTATACAAACAAAGCTAAATTTCTTACTGTTTGTCTGTTCTAATCACAAACAGAGAAAAACTGCCTTTTCCTTTCCCGCCCCTTCACCCTTGCTGGTTGAGAAATAAAAGACATCAGTTGCATATTTGCCTAAGTGGTGGGCAGTCTTTCAGAATTAACCATTACGTTCTTCTTCTTGATGATGTCAGGTCAGCCTCCGAGGAGTGGACAGCTCCTTGTGTTAATGATGTGACTAGTGTATGAGTCCTAATACCTGATGCTTCCCCTGAGGTTGTCTTAACAGAGGCAATCCTGGTTTCCTAAGCCTGAATGAGTTGCTTTCAGGAGTACTTTGAGAGTGGAGTCTCACTCAAGTTCTTATAGTAACAGCTCCCAATTTCTTAAGCAATGCCTGTGTGCCAAATGATTTGCATACATTGTTTCATTTGATCTTCACAACGTGTGTCAATAGGGAAAATTACTACTGACATTTTGGAGCTGGGGAAAACTGAGGTTCAGAGTAGTTATGTGTCCAAGTTTAGACAGTTAGAAACAAAGGGAACTGAGATTTGAATCCAAGCTGACCTCACTTCAGAGCCCACATTTTCAAGACATAAATTAGAAGATCCTGAACTACACAAAAGAATATTTTGGGACATGAACAGCCGTGTGATTTCTGCATGTTTCCCTAGATCCTGTTCTGATGAATTTGACTAGCAGATACAGGTTTGTCTTCTCTGCTCTGGCAGCCACCCAACCTGTCCCCCTTGACTTAACTCTTTCCATTTGACCATCCATTCCTCTGAATATTCAGAATCCCTTCCTATGGCAAGACTGACATTGCTACTCCCATAACCGTGACTCTTCATGCAAACAGTAGTATGAGAAGGAGGAGGGGTCTTTCTGGAACTTGACATTCTATAAGGCTGGCATGTTACAACTGGGTTTTTTAACCATGTTTGGAAAGTTCCTCTGAACTGCATTCACAGGACGTTCTCAGCAGCTGATATCAAGTTGGCACAAACTTCACAGCTCTAATAATCTTCCTTAGTGATGCATTAAAATCGAAAATGGAGTACCAGCTTAGGGTGAGGAATATCAAGTTATGAGACATAAAAGTAATATCCAAACTCAGGGTTAGAGAGATGAGGAAAGGAAGGCTCAGAGGACAGAGTGAAGTCTGTTTGAGCATTTGTCTGATAGGAAGTGACAGGACTGGTCCCAGAAACTCTGGAATTGTCCTCTCTATGGCATTGCCTGGTTCCCTGGGTTCTGATAAAGCACTGCCTAATTCTGAGTGACATCCAACTTTCTCACTGGCAAAGCCTGAAGTATATCCAGTAAGCCTCTGATTTGTCAGTAGGAGGGGAGCTTGCTTTCAGACATGACTACTGTTTCATGCACCCCTCTCCTGCCTCTTTCCTGACTGGTTTCATAGGGGAAAGTACTGTCTATCATTCTTTGCTACTTTTCAGCTTTCGTTTTCCCTCTGGGTTATACACAAGTGCAAGCAGAAGCAGGAAAAATTGGAAAGATGATGGTAGGTGCAGTTTTTGAGCTAAATTAGAGGAGGCAAAAGCTAGAGATTTCTCTTCATGTCAAGCAAAAGGCCATTAAAGATCTATTTGTTCCAATTTCCAGGAGCTCCATAAACAAATGTAAAAGTACCTAGGCAATCTCATTAAAAATTAGCCAAATTAGCATATGGCTTCTTTACTGCAACTTATCACATAAGGTAGTTTTGACAAAAGATTGCCAAAAAAAGAAAAAACTCACAAAACAAACTCACAAAACAACTTTAGAGCCAAGAAGGAAGGAGTGCATTATAATTGTTTTACTAAGATGTTTGTTATTAGGATATGTTTCTATTGTTACAATATAAAAACACTAATTTGAACAATAAATATTATTTGAATTATTCTCCATTCCACAGAATTTAGATGTACACAATACTACTTGAGCAGGGTCAGATGTCAAAAGAAAAGCATCCTATTTTCCATAAGTAACCACCAAACTGATATACTATGTTATGAAAAGGAGTAAGTCACTTATCTCCAAGTATGTAGAATAAAAACAATGAAATAGACAAATGATTTAGCTTGCTTTTTTTAAAAAAAAGCAAGTGCAAGACAATGATCCAACTTAGATATACAACCTAATGCCCCAAGCTGCAGCAAAATTTTACACAAAGCCTACTGACCTATCAAAAGTTACTTCTGTGTTTGCCAATTCTCTGTAGAACAGATGGAAAACATAAACTGATTTGCACTTCATTTCAAAAATACCATGATTTTCCTAACAAAAAAGTTACACTTTATTTTATATGCAGCCAGATATACTGTTTCCAAGCATAAAACCAAATAAAATTTTCCTAATGCTCAGCAGTATCTTTCTTTTTCCTGATGCACCTTTAAGGCACAGAATATTAGGGCAGTGAAAGGATGCTAGACAGGAGGTAAACTGTGAGGACAAGAGAAAAGAGCAAATAAGGAAATACAGGAAGGATGGGAGGGAGGGAAGGGAGGGGAGAGGAGGAGGAATGAGGGAAAGAGGGAAAGAAAAAGGCACACCTCTTGAGCACACCATCCGCATTCTGGACCCAGCGCAAGACACTTGGTGCAGGACGCTGCGTTTGAAGATGCACATCTATTGGCTTCTGTAATAGAAGATAAAAAGGTGTTACGGTTTCCTCTCATTTTAGGAAGTATATACAGTTCTAGACAAAAATGTATTTTGAAAACTGAAATGAACTGACCAATAGTTTTAAGTACATGACATTAAAATATATATAATTTCTTTGAGAAGAGTTAATCTACTCACTGAAATTAATAGATGCATCATTTTCTGGGCTGTTGTCATTTAGTTTTATAAGGTTGGGAGAAAGGAGGGTGATGAAAATGTGAGGATTTGGCTCAAATTCTGCAATAGTAGAGGACCCTCCAAATAAGTTTCATATTATCTGTATTTCATATCTGAACCAATGAGACATTTTTGGATCTAGAATTTTTCCTGCAAAAACAATCTTATAGAACTAAATCTCAACATATAAATCAATGTTGAGTCATAGTGAATGGACTTTCTGAGAAATGATTTTGATGGACATATAAAGAAATTAACTTGATAATTCTGATTGTTTTAATATTGATTATTTTGGCTTGATGGATATCAGAACCAGATGTAATGGCATGATTTGGCATTTTAGACATAAAGTGGTTAAAATGATTGAGTTGTTTTAGTTAACATAACTTAATTTCTCTGACTACATCATTTTGAGATCGTGACCAATTCATTTTTCCATAGATCCCACACTTGGCTGAGTAACATAGTTGTGCCTGTAAATTATTTGCCTTTATCCCTCTAGCCAGTAACACTACTTAGATCATTAAAAATAGTCTCATCATTATAGACTTAAACACATAAAATATAATGAAGAATGAGTCATAAACCTGTGTGAGATTTTATCATGAACAATCACCTACTTCCTATAGTCTGTACTTTACTCTGCAATGTCCCTAGGACACTGGCAAGCACAGAAGTCTATCCATCTCACTCACAGGCACACAGAAAATAACGTAGACTTTCTGGCTGTAAGTCATTCACAGTTCAGGTGAAAAGAGAACTATGTAACTAAACAATATAACACAGTGTAATAGGCACAAGAGAGACCTCCATGGCACTGTAGGAACACAGTGAGGGGCTTCTCTGCTTTAGAAGGAAGAGCAGGGGTAGGCAAAGAGGGCATGTTTAAGGATGGCTTCCCAGAGGCAGTGTTATCTGGTATGTCTCCTTGCCAACTCATTTTGTTTCTTCTAATCTGTGTTTATCTCTTTTTAAAAATGTAATAGGTATGAAAGAGGATTATGTGGGTTTGGTGTGCATGTTGTGTTCAAAATCATACATAGTATAGTAATTTGAAAGGGGACAGAACCCACAAAATCTCTAGCTGCCCCCACCCAATTGGCTTCTTTTTCTCCTCTTGCCCCAACATCCTAGAATACAGGATTAAAACAGGTCTGACCTGGAGGTGGTATGGGTGGACTTTTGCCAGTGGGAAGAGAGAAAGAGGAACTTGAGGGGTGTAAACACAGAGAGGTGCTAACTTGGGTATTAGTGAACACCCTGTCTGTATTTCTCTAGACACCCAACAAGTTAAGCTGAAAGCATCCTTCCTTAACACTACTTTTCCATTGCCTCCTTTCTGGTCCCCTTGCACACTTTGTCCTTGGCTTTATGTCAACTATTAATACACCTTATCTACAACTCCTTCACTGATCTGTCTAGATCTGGCCAGAATTTGAAAGACTAAAAATAGCTGATATTTTAGGCTGTTTTTCCTACCAGGCCACCTATGAAGACTCCAGAACCTAAAATCCTTCCATCACCTTTTCCAAACTATAAAACTTGCTTATTCCTAAAGTATTCAGAGGAAAGAGTGACCTTTTAAATTTTACTCTCAGAAAGAAATCAAGCACATTTGCAGATCTAACTTGACCTTTAACAGCTCTTAAACTTGACCCAACTGGAACACGAAATCAAGTCTATTTCAGTTCAGACTTGACCAAACCTTTCACTCGTTGGTAGGACTTCGGCACTGGCATTTAGACTGCAGTCTTCTGGAAGAAAGCTGCAGATTCTATGACTCTGGTTTTTGTTTCTAATTGTTGTCTGATTCTGTCCTAAGTTAATCCAAGATTCAAGTTCTGGTCTGGCTCCTAGTTCCAAAACATGTGTAATAAACAATGAATTTATAAACAAAAATCTGTTGGTTTTTTTTTGTAGTCTGCATTATGACTATTTTCTGTAAAAAGTTGCAGTGCCAACCTCTGTACTCTAACTTCACACACTTAACAGTGATGATCAGGAAGGATAGGAACTTTGGCCTGTTAACTTCTCAGGTTCCAGGGCTGACATTTCTCAGTGTCTACAAAACTTCAGGAAAAATGATCCCATAAATGGATATGGAGGAGATAGTCCTTCCAGTTCTGCAGAACTGAAGGAAGACCAAAGATTGAACTCCTTGGAAATACTGTCAAATGTTATTGCTGCCAAGTGTCATAGAAGACAAACCAGATATACTCTGATAAGCATAATTTCAAGGATTTTTTTAAATTTAAAAATATGCAATTAGGTTATTATGTAACAACCAAAGATCACACCAATTCTAGCAATTCTTTACACTGAATGGTCATACCATGTGGTTATTAGTATGTGCTAAAACTGTATTAGTCTGTGCTAAACACACACACACACATACACACCACACATACCCTTGCCCTTCTGTGCAAATAGAAATCGTTACACTGCACACATATCCATTTGTAAGCACTGTGTCCAGACACTACAGTTTGTCATCAGCCTCTAGGTCTACTCAGTCCCATCCCTTATGTCCCAGGAGTCTGCCTTCCAGTGGTGGTTTCCTAGCAGCCCTCAGCATGGCTCCCTGATTAGCAGGTGTGCCCCAGTGGTTCTTCCTCCCACTCTTTAGAGCGGTAGCTGCTTATTCCGCTATTTGTCCAGTGATGTAACATTAAGCACCTTATTCTTTATGTTCTAGCACTGTGTTTTAATTAAGGACCATTTTTTTATATATCTTAATGGGAATTCTTAAGCCAGTGGAAACAGAATGATGGTATTTTAAATCATATATCCTCAGAACCCTTTTTCGTGCTCATTTATTTTAGTCCCGAGTGCCTCATAAACCCCATGTCATTAAAATGTGCTGCCATGACATACATTAGTAAAGGATTTAGCATTATATTATCACTAAATGTGTTCATCTTCATAATTTTATTCCTTGATCCATGAGCATGGGCTGAGGGTCTTTTTCTTATTACATTGCAACTGCTGGTGACAGATGTGATGAGTTGGTATTGCTAAATGGTTACTGGGAACCAAGTGCCAAATTTCCACAGCATTGCCTCTTAGTAGCACTGTGCCCTTAGGCTAGTTACTTGAATTCCCTGAGGCTCCATTTCCTCTGCTGTAACACAGAACTAACTATACTTGTATCAAAATACTGATATGAGATGAAATGAGCAAGCTAGGCATGCCAAATGTAGTTCTTAGGGTATAGTAGACAGTAAAGGGACTATTATAATTTTGTTATGATTAATATTAGAGTAATGTTTTACATATAAATAGTATATATGTATACATGTATGTGATTTAGTTCTACCTTCAAAAAAAAAGGAAGGTGTTATGTCTTTAAATTTGTTGTAAATATAATTAGTTGTCTTTAAAATGAAAGTCCCTTGGGTCATAAAAATGCAGCTTTAAAAATACAGCTAATATGTAAAAATGACTAGTAAGTAAAAAGTTAGTGCTTTTATTTTAATTATTTAAAAATGATTCTTAAAAGCCAATTCACACATATCAGTCTAATCTATAACAAATATAATTTTGGCATGACTATAATTGGGTTACTGAAAATCTCTTAGAACACCCTCATTTTGTTCACATTTTTCAAAATGAACATTGACTTAATTTGAATATTTTTCTACTTACAGAATTAAATGTTTCTGATGCATGTGAAATGACCTCTATGATAGTTTGTCATGAAGTGTGATAACTATCTATCATCAACAGGATAGTGTACATAAAAATCAGGAAACTATATATTCGTGATACTCAGGTATTCTTTGTTTTAGTTAATGCAGTTATCTTATTTTGAGAATGTGTAATTTATAGAAGTGAGAGGAGGAAGAAAATGGACAAAAAAATAAAAAATACAATTGAAAGTTCAGTGTTTAGATTGGGATCTTTCCATAAGTCAAGTGATCAGATCAAGGTAAAGTTTTAGGAAGCATTTCTAATGTTTTTCTACTCTAAACTTTACACCACAAAATTTCAACAAAATTTAAAGGATGCCCATATTTTATTTGGAAGAGGGAACAACCAAAACTACTAAAGACTGCCATTTGTGATATTCAGAATCAATCATTCTAGATTCTCCTGTGACTCCTATACAGAATGATTCGTGAAAAATGAAGAAACGCATTTTTTTCCAGGCCATATCCTTTTTCTAATTGCACTGACTGTACAAATGAAATTAAACTTGGATAATTATATAAACCTACTTCCTTTAAAAAAATAACAAAGTAAACATTGTTATCATGAGTGCATATGCTACTTTGATAACAGTCAAAGCAGGCAAACTGAGCACACAGTGAACAAAGTTTGGAGTATGACTTTGGGATTTCCTTGTTCTAGACGTATGTCATGGTCATGTGAATGGTACAGACATCTTCAAAATACATTACCTGATTATTGAAAGCTCTCAACACAGAAATTTAATATGTAATATAATTTGATATAAAAATCAAAACAAAGAAATAAATTAATGTTCTAATCATTTGCCATTACCTATTATTCCAAATTTTGATGGAGGAACTGTTTGAGGAACAAAAATAAAGGGCAGGAAGAGATGGTCAGGGATATTCTTTGACAATCAGGCATAGGAAACAAAACCAAAGGCAGTTAAATTTTAACAGGGATTAAAGAAAGAGGCCTGGGAGAAAAGGTGGAAGCATGGGAAGCTCTTTAGAAAGGTAGATCTGAACAGGGAAGCTCTGAAGAGCCAGAGGTGTAAGCTAATGCCTCACAACAGTACCCGAAAGCAGTGAGCAAGGAAATACAGAACTGCTTGTACTTCTCTTT